CAGGCAGTTGCAAGGTCAGTGGCTAGAGCACCCGCTGTTAGTGATAAGCAGCAAACAAAGAAGACACTCTGAGGTGCTGTCTGAAGCTTGAATCACACAATGTCTTAGTTAACTTTAAGTTTTCTGTCTCAAGATTTTTACTTCAAGGCCCTGTGAGATGTGAGAAAGGAGAAGCTTAAAATGGCTCCTGACATGAGTCCATGATCAACACAGTGGGAAGCAGACAGACATAGTGCAGGGGGAGCAGCTGAGAGCTTTACATCCTAATTTGCAGGGAGAGAGAAAGAGAGAGACAGAGAGCAAGCAGACAGACTTTGGGCCTGTCGTGGGCTTTTGAACCCTCAAAGCCCATCCCACTGCCACACCTCTCCCAACAAGGCCAATACTCCTAATCATTTCTAAACAATTCCAGTAGTGATCAAAATATTCAAACAGGAGCCTATGGGAACCATCTCACTCAAAACACCACAACTATCCAAAGGAGAACATGCTTTTGTTACCACACACAGGGTTTCTGTGTGATTGTGACTTCTGCATGTATAAATCACACCACATGCATTCCAAGGTGTGCCAGCTGATCTTCCAGGATGCAGTCAAGACAACATGAATACAAGAAGTGTGTTGGGTAGCACTGTGGTGAGAAAAAGGAACATGAGGCAGGGACAAATCTCACAGTGTAACATGGATACCACTTACTATTATCTCTGAGTGTCCTCTTTACTTGTCCAAATCATTGCTGTAGAAGGCAACAAGGGTTTGGCTTATTTTGATCAATTGTGTTTCCATGGGAATATTTTGTCTTCCAAGACATTTTTTTTTTTGTTTTGTTTTGTTTTGTTCATTAGTGAGATTGGTCTGTAATTCTCTTTCTTAGTACTGTCTTTTTCTTAGCAATGTCTTTATGTGGTTTGGATATTAGGGTAGTTGTAGCCTCATAAAAAGAGTTTGGCAATGTTCCCTCTGTTTCTATTGTGTGAAATAATTTGAGGAGTATTGGTATTAGTTCCTCTTTGAAAGCCTTGAAGAATTCTGAGCTGAAGCCAACTGGTCCTGGGCTTTTTTTTGGGTTGGGAGAATTTTGATGACTGTTTCTATTTCTTCAGCAGTTATAGGTCTGTTTAATTTGCTTATCTGGTCTTGATTTAATTTTGGTAAGTGATATTTATCCAGAAAGTTGTCCGTTTCCTTTAAGTTTTCCAATTTTGTGGAGTACAGGTTTTTGAAATATGACCTGATAATCCTCTGTATTTCCTCTGTGTCTGTTGTTATGTCCCCCTTTTCATTTCTGATTTTTGTTAATTTGGATATTCTTTCTCTGCCTATTGGTTAGTTTGGATAAAGGTTTGTCTATTTTGCTGATTTTTTTCAAAGAACCAATTCTTTGTCTCATTGATTCTTTGTATTGTTTTGTTTCTATTTTGTTGATTTCAGCTCTCAATTTGATTATTTCCTGCCATCTAGTTCTCTTAGGTGAGTTTGTTTCTATTTGTTCTAAAGTTTTCAAATGTTCTGTTAATTCACTAGCGTGGGATTTTATGTAGGCATTTAGTGCTATGAACTTGCCTCTTAACACTGTTTTGTGTCCCATAAATTTGGGTATGTTGTGTGGTCATTTTCATTGAATTTTAGGAAGTCTTTAATTTCTTCCTTTATTTCTTTCTTGACCCATTGATGTCTCAGGTGAGCATTGTTTAATTTCCATGTGTTTGTGGGTTTTCTGGAATTAGCATTGCTGTTGACTTTTAGTTTTAGACCATGGTGATCTGATATGGTACATTGGGTTATCCCAATTTTTTTGTATTTGTTGAGGTTTGTTTTGTTACTGAGTATGCGGTCAGTTTTTGACAAGGTCCCATGAGGTGCCGAGAAGGAGGTATATTCTTTTTTGTTTGAATGGAATATTCTATAGAGGTCTGTTCAGTCCATTTGAGTCATCTGTTAGTTCTCTTATTTCTCTGTTCATTTTTGTCTGATTGACCTGTCTGTCCAGTGGTGAGAGGGGAGTGTTGACGTATTAGTGTGTGGGGTTTAATATATGATTTAAGCTTTAGAAGTGTTTCTTTGACATATGAGGTTGCCCTTGTATTTGGGGCATAGATGTTCAGTGTTGAAATTTCCTCTTGATGGAGTTTACCTAATATAAAATGACCTTCTTTGTCTCTTTTGACTGATTTTAGCTTGAAGTCTATTTTGTTAGATATTAGGATAACTACACCCATTTGTTTCTTAGGTCCATTTGATTTTTTTCTAGCCTTTTTCTCTGAGATAATGTCTGTCTTTGGGCTTGAGATGCATTTCTTGTATGCAGAAGAGGGATTAGGAAAAATTCCTAACATCTGGAGGTCCCCACCGAGATAGGGTGGCCTTTCCCTGCAGCCTATGGCCATGCATAGAAAATGCCCTAGTCCACAATCCGAGCTCTCTATGCCAGGTTAAAATCCCGGACTACAGCAGCTGCATCTTGGTTGAGTCCCCTTTTCTTGTCTATGCTATAGGGTTTTGGGGGACCCATTCATATTTACTTTTGTCAATTATAGGACTCTTGTGGAAGACAAAGTCTGATCTCAGCAACTATGCTGGGCCTAGCTGAGGTGAATTTTGTTTGTTTTAGGGACAATTAGCATTCAATTTTCATGACCCCATTTAGGCCTAAGAGCTATTTTGGCAGACAAGCTGTAATAGACTTAGGCCACACAGTTGGGGATAGACTTTAAAATGGGCACTTGCAGTTCAAAGTCAGATCCACTGTTGCCCCTGGGATGCCTCTTAAAGCTTTCTATTCTCCAGGACCTAGAAAATTTTTGTTGCCATAGGGACAAATAGACAGAGCTTATATATGTCCATGGTTTTTGGGCTCTGAGCTCCCGCCCTTCCTTCAGTAGCCAGTGTCTCAGGGCACCTGTCTTAGTAGCTAAGGCAGCAACACCTTCAAATTCCTGGTCATCTGGGAATTGGGACCCCAACAATTCTAGCTGGATTATGCAGCCAGAGGCACTAGCCCCTCCCTCACTCCCTCAAACCCACACTACCCCCCCCCTCCTGTGGAGCAACATTCTCCACATTCCTCTCCTTCCCTGTCTACCCCCTCCCTTACCAATCCACCAATCCAGAAGTTCAAGGTCAACTTCCACCTCACCCACCTTCCCCCCCCACCCTTCCTACCCTTGGACCCCCCCTCTCCTCGCACTGGGCCCCTCCAAATCCTCCCTAGTCTCCCCCCATACCAGATCCCACCATAGCTCTGCCCTTCTCTGCCCTCTTCGGGAAGTGGAAGGAGTCGATGACATTATCAAACTTCATGTTCCCTTTTCTCTTCCAGATCTCTCTCTGATAGAAAAGTGGCTAGGTTTTTTTTTTCTACTAAGCCTTCTTCTTATAGTAATGAGTTTCATTACAGAGGCGAAACATTATCATTCGTTGCCTCCTTCAGGGTATGGAAATGGTCTTGGAAAAAAGTAACAATCCAGCCATTTTTAAAAATCAATTATAAGAGACCATGGCCCAATATACCAGGCTAGATCAAGGTCTTGGCTACCCATTTTACTTCTCAGTCAGCACCAGATATTTAAAGAAGTTAACAAAGGCTGAGGAGGATCTCCAAACCCTATACAGAAATTGGTAAAAAATAGGGTTTTTTTTTTTGTTTGTTTGTTTTTTTTGTTTTTCGAGACAGGGTTTCTCTGTGGTTTTGGAGCCTGTCCTGGAACTAGCTCTTGTAGACCAGGCTGGTCTCGAACTCACAGAGATCCACCTGCCTCTGCCTCCCGAGTGCTGGGATTAAAGGCATGTGCCACCACCGCCCGGCGGTAAAAAAAAAAAAAATAGTTTTAATGCCCAAGAAGAAACAGCTGGGGGCTGGAGAGATGGCTCAGTGGTTAAGAGCATTGCCTGCTCTTCCAAAGGTCCTGAGTTCAATTCCCGGCAACCACATGGTGGCTCACAACCATCTGGAATGAGGTCTGGTGCCCTCTTCTGGCCTGCAGAACACACACTCAGACAGAATATTGTATACATAATAAATAAATATTTAAAAAAAAAAGAAAAAGAAACAGCTGAGTCTTCCCAACAGACAAGGCTACAACAAGCAGCTACTCTGCAGGCAGACCTTAGTAGTTGTCCTAAGTCCATGGGAAGGGGGACAAGGGAAGCCAACCACACGGCTCTACCCTGCTGGAGCCCAGCCTAAGTCAACCTCACAGGCGGGCTGTTAATCACAATGCCCCGGTGCGGGCTTGTCCTCTGTGTCATGCCACAGAGGTCCAGCCCCATCAACATGGACAAGTGAAACTGTGTCAGCTTTCAAACTTCTCACCCTGCAGGGGATTGACACTGTCCAGACTTGGTGTATCCCATAACCCTATCTGAGCCTAAGGTAAAGCTGCAGGTAGTGGATAAGTCCATTACTTTTCTTTTGGACATAGAAGCTACCTATTCTGTTCTAACATCTCATTCGGGCCTTATGTTCCCCTCACCAATTTCAGTTATGGGGGTAGATGGGACCTGTTCCTCCCCACTTAAAACTTTGTCACTGACCTACATTCTTGGAGGACATTTTTTTCCCATTCTTTCTTAGTGATACCTCTGCCCAGCACCTTTACTGGGTCGAGATATCCTTAGCTTTACTGGGTAGAGATATCCTTATACTCCTAAGTCTCTCAAACCTTGAAGGACAGGACCTCACAAGACACCTGCCTTTTCACCTCCCCCAAAAAACAGAAGCCTGGCATCTGAGTGTGTACCCACCAACACCCAGCTCTCCCATTCCCCACGTCACCCCATGCCTGCAGGAAGTAGCCAGACTTGAGTCAAGCCCCTTTTTCCTAAGAGAGCCTAAACGTTAGTCAAAATATCACTTCAGCTTACTTTCACCCCTTATACAAACAGTCTGGAATGCAAGTCCTGGACTCTGGTCTCTGGTCTCCATCTTTGAAGGCCCCGCCCCTGTGCCCACCAAACCTTGAACACCCCCACCCCACTCCCACACACCCGTGAACACAGGAATCCCATTAAACCTGGATATCCTTTAATTTGGCTCGTTGTCATTTGGCTTGACTGGGATTTTTGGCGTCGGCAGAGAGCTCGCGTTAGGAAAAATTCCTAACAGTCTTCCCCCAGCCCGACCGCTACAGCAGACGGGAGAAACTGGAGCGATGGGGTCTACTAGGTCTTGGATGAGTACATCAGCAGTTGCTAGGTAAGATGGGGATTCAGAGGTAACACCAGACCCTAACCTAGCCACGCCTCAGGTGAAGGAAAACCAGGAACACCTGACTGCACCTGTGGCCAAGATTCATTCCAGCTGTTTTAGGGAAGTTACACTTTCAAAGAGTCCTCGTGGTTCGCGCCCCCACAAACTCTCACCCTCCCTCGAGAAGATTCTCGCCTTATGTTTCGCTCACTTAAAGCCATAGTGGTCAGACACTGGGACAGCCAGCGAGAGTGGCGAGCACTGCTCAAGCGCAAGTCAGCGGGTCCTAGTGCGCACGCGCAGTTCTCTGGGCGGCCTCTTGCTTCAGCTCTCGCAGGGCAAGGCACCGCATAACGTCCGGCTCCGCCCCTTGAGTTGCCATGGAGACCCAGCGGCCAAAGCCCGCCCGGGACAGCGCCCTGGGCCTGGTGGCCTCTTGAGGGCTTTGCCTGGGAGATGTTGCGCCTCACAGAGCTTTCCGGAAAGAGCGCGGACTCGGCGGAGATGCGGTCCGGGGCCCTGGGCCACTGCAGGCACTTCTTTTGGCTGGGCGTCGCCTTCGATACGGTGGGTGTGGCAGTGCTGTTCACTGGCGTCTTCGCCAACCTGTTTTTCTACGACATGCTGCTCTATCTGGGTTCCATCATCATCTTCGTCAGTCTCTTGTGGTGGATCTTCTGGTACACCGGCAATATCGAGGCGCTCCCGGAAGACCCCTTGAGGAGGACTTCGCCTCGCGCGGGAGAGGTCGGTATGCACCGCAGCGGTAGCCGTCGTTTCTCACTGACCATCAGGAGCGTCTCCAACACCTTCCGGCGGATCCGCCGGCGGCGGCGGCGGCGGCTCCTCCCGAGGGTCCTCCAGATGATGAGTAGCTTCAGCTCGACCGACCTGGGCCAGCTGGAAGGGAACAGCGATGCCGGGACCGAAGTTGGCAGAACTTCGTTCCATCCGGCGAAGCCTGTGTCCATTCTAAACAAGCTACAGCTTTGCTCAATCCAGGCCTCTAAGAGCCTGCCTCTGGTCCCTTTGCAACATCCTCTCACCATTTGTACTTCTAGGAGTCAGCCTGTCTTTTCAGTGACCTCGCAGTGCTACCCTCTGGTGTCTGGAGCTTCTGGCAGCTACTCCCAGATGGCTTTGTCCTCTGACAGTCAGGTGCCTGTGGACCTTGACCCTCAGGGGCGATCTAAGATCAGTGTGGCTTCTCGGATCTACCCTGTGCAACGGGTAGACAGTCAGAGCCACCTCCTGGTGCCCGTGCCCTCTGAAAGTTCCCCTGTGGTACCCGTGACCTCTCAGAGCCAAGTGCAGGACTCTGTGTCCTCAGGCAGCTATATGACTGTGGACCTTGACCCTCAGGGGCGATCTAAGATCAGTGTGGCTTCTCGGATCTACCCTGTGCAACGGGTAGACAGTCAGAGCCACCTCCTGGTGCCCGTGCCCTCTGAAAGTTCCCCTCTGGTACCAGTGACCTCTCAGAGCCAAGTGCAGGACTCTGTGTCCTCAGGCAGCTATATGACTGTGGACCTTGACCCTCAGGGGCGATCTAAGATCAGTGTGGCTTCTCGGATCTACCCTGTGCAACGGGTAGACAGTCAGAGCCACCTCCTGGTGCCTGTGCCCTCTGAAAGTTCCCCTCTGGTACCAGTGACCTCTCAGAGCCAAGTGCAGGACTCTGTGTCCTCAGGCAGCTATATGACTGTGGACCTTGACCCTCAGGGGCGATCTAAGATCAGTGTGGCCTCTCGGATCTACCCTGTGCAACGGGTAGACAGTCAGAGCCACCTCCTGGTGCCCGTGCCCTCTGAAAGTTCCCTTGTGGTACCAGTGACCTCTCAGAGCCAAAACCCGGGCTCTGTAGCCAAAGAAGGCCAGCTCCAGAATCTTCCTTCTGCCTCTCAAACTTCTGAGAGCCATACTTTGGGCATGGAAGTTCCTGTGGTGCCACTTGGGTTTGCCCAGACTTCTCAAAGTCGTTCTTCACATGTCCAGGAGGTTACTAAGAACTCAAGTGCTAAAGCTTCTGAGACTCTCCCAGCAATCAGCCAGAAACTAGCTGAGGAACAACTTGACCCTTCATTGTTTGTCTCTGAGGTCACACATTCAGACAGGCAGTGTGACCCTACTGGCAACCTTCCAGCCACCAGTGGAGTGAGAAAAAGTCACCCTTTCTAATAGGAAGCAGACCTCAGCCATCTGAATGTCTATTAAGGCCTTTGCCAAGTAAGTGCCTTGGAGGAAAACTTACCTACATTACCCTTTTTATTGCCACTGTCCTGGTAGCTTCTCAACTCTTATAATTAGAAAAAAGTGGCCTTGGACTTCAGAGATAAGTCACTTTGAGAGTTGGTAGGCTTTTAAAACTAGTTCTCAGGTTTTGACTACTTTATCAGACAATAAAATGTTGTTTTGTTTAAGGTTAGAGGAAAGGCCAGAGGTGTGTTCTTTAGGAAGAGGGAGGTGGAGAATGGGATTCTGCAAGACTGGTCCTGGAAGAAGACAACTTTAGTTTGCACAGGGACATGGCATTAAATGACACTGAATCTTAGGAAGAGAGTTAATCTTTTTCAATTCTTTTGGTTTTTGCCAAAGAGGCTATATTTTGTTGGGAGACAATGCTCTTTAATACTCCTCTAAAGCTTCAGTAGGCTAAAACTAAACTCAGCTAGAATTTAATAAACTTTGCAAAGATTACAAAGATTAAAAACCCTATCTCAAAAACAAAACAAACTTTTGTTTTTTCTTGTTATTTTTCAAGACAAGGTTTCTCCGTGTAGCCCTTGCTGTCCTGGAAGTCACACTTTAAGACCAAGTTTGCCTCAAACTCAGAGATCCTCTGCCTCCTGAATGCTGAGATTAAAGGCATGGGCCACCGTGCTCTGTGAAAATAGATTAAATAAATAAATAAATAAATAAATAAATAAATAAATAAATAAAATAAATCTTAAGCAAGACATAGTGCAAACAACTTAGTTGTTGGTTGTTTTTTGTTTGTTTTTGATACAGGTTTTCTTATGTAACAGCTCTGGCTGTTCTGAAACTCAGTTTGTAGAACAAGCTAACCTGGGAATAAAGGCATGCACCACCACCGTCCAGTTAGTTCACACAAGTTTAATGGAAGACAGGCAGATCTCTGTGTGTTTGAAGTCAGCCTAGTTCACATACCAAATTCCACAAAAGCTAGGGCTACGTGGAGAGACCAGGTCTACTCATCTCTTTTTTTTAAAAAATGATTTATTTTAATTTTATTATGTTCGTTGGTGTGAAGGTGTCAGATCTCGTGGAACTGCATTTTCAGACAGTTGTGAGCTGCCATGTGGGTGCTGGGAATCGAACCTGGGTCCTCTGAAAGAGCAGTCAGCCCCGAGAGACCAGGTTGAAAGAAAGAAAGAAAGAAAGGGCCCATTAATTCCAGCACTTGGGGGCAGAAGCAGGCAGATCTTTGTGAGTTCAAGGCCAGCCCGGTCTACAAGAGCTAGTTCCAGGACAGGCTCCAAAGCTACAGAGAAACCCTCTCTCGGGAAAAAAAGGGGGGGGGGAGAAAGAAAGAAAAAGAGGGAGAGAGAAAAGAGAAACACAGGGTTTTGGATTTAGTAGCTAAACCAGTTTAATGCATGCATGCATACATATACACAATGCTGGCTTAGGCTTCTGCACACCTGTAATTTTAACACATAGGAGGTCATCATCGGCATATAGTGAGTTTGAGGCTAGCATGGGCTACATGAGACCCTATATGTCTGAATATGGGTAGTGCATGGGAGTGTATGTGCCAGCTGAAGCCAGAGGCACCACATCTTCTGGAGCTGGAATTAGCAAACAGTTGTGAACCATCTGATAAAGGTGCCAGGAACTGGATTTGAGTCCTCTGGAAGAGCAGCCAGTGATTTTAAGCAATATGCTCTCTCTCAGGGACTTTTTTTTTTTTTTTTAAAGACAGAATTTCAGGTAGCTCAGGCTGGTCTCAAGTTATGTATTTAGCCAAGGATGACCTTCAACTTCTGATCCTTTGGCCTAAATCTACCTGATGCTGGGGTTCTAGGTATCACCACCCCAGGTTTGTGAAGTGCTGGGGATGGAACCCAGGGCTTTCTGCATTCTGGGTGAGCAGTCTACTGAGACCCAAGTCCAGCACACCACATCTAGCTGCTTTGCAGAATCTTTAGCAGGGTTGAGCTGTGTTTGTTGTTTGCAGTTCTACTTGGGTCTGTCTGTAAAGTAATGGGAATAGGCAAATAATTGAGATAAATTTCTAAGGTTCTCTCCATTTAATTATAAGCCCAAAGTAGACCTTTTAAGTGTTAGCAACAGTTCCTAACCAAGTAGAGGCTCCATCAGTGTTCATCTTGCAAAGTACTTTCAGGTGTTTCTTATAGAGATGGCATCATGTGGAATTACTGTTTACTATAATAGCCAATCTATGCATGTTATTAGCAAGGTAGGTACGTCTCTAAAACAGAAATATATGTGTTTTTCCCCACAGAGGTCAGGGTAGTAGATATTTTTGATTTTATGAGTCAAAAGAAAGAAATCAAAGCTGTAAGTATCCTGGTGTGGTGATACATGCCTTTAGTCCCATAACCTTAGAAGTAGAACTCTACAAATGTGCCAGCCTGGGTATCCATGGCTACATAGTGAGACTGTCTTTAAAATGCTGTGAGTCTACTTGTGCAACCACCCTACTCTGTCTGTAGCTCCTTTGGCTCCAGTGACCTCATCTGGAATCATTGACTTAACCAAGAACAAGTGATATAGGGAGAGGGGACTTGGTAGAGCAGATCTACAGCCAACACCATCTTTTCACTCTGCCCTAGGGACACCCTGATGTCGTCCACTATTCTCTCAGAATACAGAGCCTTCTCAGTTTGCTGGTCCAAGATGATGCAATTTGCTAAGCTTCTGACTCTTAGATGGAGAATCCACCTTTCAGGACCTGGTATTTGCCAACAATAGGGTTCATGTTGTATGGCAATATCTAGGTTCCCGGGAAGGCCACTAGTCAAAAGAGGCAGGCCCTGGGAATGCTTATCTGGGAAGTGATTCGCTAACTTGGTTTTTGAGACTCACCTTGAGACTCTATGATGGTATAAAGCTGGGATATGGAAGGTGCCCCTCAGTACCTAGTATGTAGAGAGCAGAGATGCAGTGAAGCACCCAACAGTGTACAGAATAGCTTGTGTGATACACAACTGTCTGACCCACAGTGTCAAAAGGATGAACCCAAGAAGCTCAAGTCTGTGTTACTGAAACTGTATATTAGTGTGTGGAGGCTCTCTGCTGTAATCAGTCTGCACACTTGGAAAGGTGAGGTAAGGGAATTGAGAGCTGGAGACTATCCTGGGCTATAAAGAGAGACTATAGCTCAAAAAACAATAAAACTAGGCTGGAGAGATGGCTCAGAGGTTAAGTGCACTGTCTGCTCTTCCAGAGGTCCTGAGTTCAGTTCCCAACAACCACATGGTGGCTCACAACCATCTATGATGAAATCTGGTGCCCTCTTCTGGTGTGCAGGCATACATGCAGGCAGAATGCTATAAATCAATAAATCTTAACAATAACATTTAAATTGCCATTTTCATAAGCTTTTATTTTTTTGTTTGCTATTTATACTTTCTGAGTGGCCTGGAACTTACTATGAAGTCCAGGCTGGGCTAGACTTTGCAGCATCCTTCCTGTATCTACCTCCTGAGTGCTGGTGTTATAGGTATGTGTTACAATGCCTGGCTTTCAGGACATTTTAAAAAAGATGGGTCTTGGGTAGGCAAGAGTGTTCATTGGTGGCAACACTTAGCACCAAGTCTGATGACCTGAGTTCTATCCCAGTACCCATTAGAGAGAACCAACTCCTGAAGGTTGTTTTTTGGCCACCATACATATACCCTGGCATGTATATCCTCAAATATATATATATACACATATATATATATATATTTAAGCCATAAATGAGTAACTAACTTGAGACCCTTAGGTTACTTCTTATGTTCCTTATTGAATAAGCATACATGAATTTATTAATAATAATAGCTATTGGGTGTTTATAATACAATAGGAGTGACTCAAGGGAGTTGGATACTGTTGTTATCTCCACTTAAAGGATGAGTTTGACACTGAGAGATTAAATAAATTTTCCAAAATCATACAAATACAGGTGCTGGAATTGATATATCATATATTTTTAAAAAATATTTATTTATTTATTATGTATACAATATTCTGTCTGTGTGTATGCCTGCAGGCCAGAAGAGGGCACCAGACTTCATTCCAGATGGTTGTGAGTCACCATGTGGTTGCCGGGAATTGAACTCAGGACCTTTGGAAGAGCAGACAATGCTCTTAACCACTGAGCCATCTCTCCAGCCCCCGATATATCATATTTTATATGGATATATGACAAAATATTCTTCCATATCAAAGTTATTATTCAAGTAGGTGTTCATAACTATAAGCTCAGCACTCTGAAGGTGGAGGTAGGAGGATCAGGAGTTCAAGGCCATCTTCAAACACAAAGTGAGTTTGAGGCCAGCTAGAGTTACATGAGACCCTGCCAATATTATTAAGGCGCCTTTTTTTTTTTTTTTTGGTTTTTCGAGACAGGGTTTCTCTGTGGCTTTGGAGCCTGTCCTGGCACTAGCTCTGTAGACCAGGCTGGTCTCGAACTCACAGAGATCCACCTGCCTCTGCCTCCCGAGTGCTGGGATATTAAGGAGCCTTTTGACACAAATCATCATCATCTTCTTCTTCTTCTTCTTCTTCTTCTTCTTCTTCTTCTTCTTCTTCTTCTTCTTCTTCTTCTTCTTCTTCTTCTTCTCCTTCTCCTTCTCCTTCTCCTTCTCCTTCTCCT